CGAGTTAACTGTTGTGTGTTATTAGTGAAAATCGACTATTTCTCTTGTTAAAACAAGCACACTGACAAGATAAATGACTACGGTCTAATCTTACCACAAACATCTGTATTGATAATATGATGCGTTTAGAAAAGCAGCTAAATGAGCATTGATGAAACTCAAGAACAATAATACTGCAGACGTGTAACGTTACTTCAAAACTAAAACAAAGGTACTGCTAAACCATGACCACCATGTGTTTTAAGAAAGTAAAGTACTTTATTTTTATTAACGATATTTACAGCTTATGGAAATGCTCTGTTCGTCGTCTCCAAAGATAGAAGGAATTTACCCCTCATTCAATCGGCAAACCCTTCTGTATAACGTTACTGGCGGAGGCTGTTGAAGTGCTTCAGGTCACTAACGTACATCCAACAACCGAACATTTAGACGTGCCCTCTCGTAACTTCTGCATCATTGAGCTCGGACTACAAAATCACAGCGAGAAATAATAATGGCGGATTGCTCGAAGTGTTGGACCGGTAGTCGATGTCCTTATTCGTCAGGTCCGCTGCAAATACGGTGACGCACTTGCTCAAAAAACGTCATAGACAACAGAAAAATCTGAACAGGTTGAAAAATATGACCAAAACAGAATATAAAGATATAAACGAAGCACCTGAAGAGAATAATTTCATCTTTTCTGTACTTATAAACACTCCAAATATACAACAAAATGCATTTAAGGGCTAAAAAAGTGGATTTTGCATGATATGTCCCCTTTAAAGTGTGTGTAGAGAGAACAGTTTAGCAACCCCTAATTTAACAACTAATGATCATTTTACCGTAAGTGACTCAATCAAACCGCAAAGGCGCTGTGTGTGTGTGTTGATCTTCCGTCAGGTGAATGACGTGTCCGATGCAGTTTTACAGCAGCTGATCGCATTAGTGTCTCTTCATAGAGCGACAGATGATTTTTCTGCTGGTAAAGCACACGAAGATGTGTGTTCAGGTCACACGAGTCACGGCTAGGCCTCGACTGTGGAAAACGCTTGTCTTGTAATCACTTTCCACACGTTACATAATTTCCCCAGTGATTTAGCTTTAATGGTATTATTAATGTGTGTGCGCACAAGCGGATTGCAGTACCTGTCACTGACCTTCACATGATGCTTGTGTGGAGGAACGGGTAAAATTACAAAACTAGCTCTGCCCAGGACTGTAAATGGGAAAGTTGATGATTTACTGAACGAAACTGACATGTCATGTGGTGTGACGTGATGAATCCCATTTGAAAGTGCGATTTTTCATTTGAAATTAGTATTATGCACTACCGTTCAGTAAGCATTTGTGAAATAAATTAATAATTTTATTCGTCATCAAAAGTGACATTTAAGACATTTATAATATAGTAAGAGATTATATTTCAAATAATTGCTTACTTTCTATTCATCAAACAATCCTGAAAAATAAAATTTATGATGGTTTCCACAAAAATTTGAACACTGATAATAATCATATAATGTGTCTCAATCATCAGATCCTCATATTACAGTGATTTCTGGAGGATCATGTGACACTAAAGACTGGAGTAATGATGATAAACTCAGCTTAGGAATAAATTACACTTTATATTCACATAAAGAACAGATGATTTACAATATTAGAAATCAGTATATTTAGTAATATTTCACTGTTTTTACTGTATGAAATAAGTGCAGCCAAAAAAACACTGTAAATCAGTATTTACAGTGTGTGTGTGTGTGTGTGTGTGTGTGGACTCTTCTACAGCACAACTGTGTTCTTTGACTAGAGGCGTAGAGCATGATGAAACCGTGTGAAATACACACGTGTGTTTATGTAGGATAAAATCAGACAATTATGAGTATATCATCAGTGTTTGTGGCTCGTAAAACCTGCAGCGAGGAGAGAGAGAGTTGGTCATTTAAAGCTGCATCCGTTCAATTCAACTGTATTCAGAATGAAGAATATTATTCATCATAAACAGCATTTATTATTAATGACAAGCCTGCATTTATTTCAAGTAAAATGTGCTTTACAAATAGACTTCAGCATATATTTCTCTCGCATTCGTCGCTGATCTAATTGTTTTGTGTGTTTGATGTTAATTATATCGGTCACAACATGTTTTAAAAATATTTGGGGGAAGTCCCCCATTAGTCCTGTCATAAAGCTGGTGAAGTTCAGTCTCGCTTCATAACACGCAGTTTCATCCCAGTTAAAACCACAGAACGCAGCATCCACAGGGACAGACAGAACTGTGTCGAGTCAATAACACACGAATCTGAACCTCCGCCACAGTCAGACGTGAGTGTATGCTACATGTGTCTGTTCGTGAATGTGTGTGACGTTCATATGAAGCCTTGTACACACCGCTTTTCAAGATGTGTTTGTGTTCATACCTAAGCAATGTTCAGCCGAGTGAACGTGCAGACTCACTCCCTGCAAGTAGATGGCGCTTGTTTTAAAGCAGAAACAGCTGGTACACAAGGTGGCGCTGCTGTAACCGAGGACAGCTGGTAGTTGCTGTGCGAGTAAACCTCACTCCCCTGATCTCAATAGGCGCTCTAGCGTCAGACTGTAGTCTTTAGCGTCGTTGTTAGAGCGAGGGTTCGAGTCCCGGGTTCGAGGCCCGCTCGGAGCAGGTTACGTTACGCTGTCGTGAAGGTCCTTGTGTTTGGACACAAAAGAGACCAGCATTAATCTCGCCTCGTTGCATCTTCCTCTTCGTCATCGTCTTTGTCCTCAATGTGTTTTCGGCACGTGATCAAAAGAGCCAATCTCATTGGTCGGCCAGTTTTGAACACGTGTCTTCAAACCACTAAAACCATGATTTATTACGCGCGGTAATAGCCCGCGTGTGCACGGGTTGTGTGTGTGTGGTCTTCAGAAGAGTGTGTGTGACGCTCTGTAACGTGTCTCTCTCAGCGGGTCTGAGTCTCACAGTGGCTGACAGCTGGTTAACTCTCGCTACGTAATCATTTAATTCACCACAACACACACACACCAGCTTTCTGTTTCAGTAGTACGTGAGCGCAAGAAAAGCAGCTCATCATATCAGACGTCTTTAAGAGTAAAGAACAACCACCGATTGCCTCTTTCCGCCGTGAGAACACACTCTTAGAAACGAACTATCGCCGCACAGAAGGTTCTTCACGTTAATACAGTAGTTCTGATGGTTCTATTGGGTTCTTCAATTGAATCGCCGCTTTGGATCCTTTATTTCTAAGAGTGTACAGAACACAAAAGAAACAAGTTTGACATGCTGATCATTTGATGAATCCCCATATGAGGTCCTTTCAGCGAGGTCAAAGGTCAAACCCCCGAGAGAACGACAGCAGACATAAAAATGTGTTGCCCGTACGGCGATGGAGAGAACGGCGATGCGAGCGCTCTGGGAAACGCTTCTCTAGGGTGCAGTTGCGGAGAGAGAGAGAGAAAAGCGGATGATTGTCAGCCATTCAGATCCGCTATTTCATTAGAAGCTGGTTTGCTTTTAGTTGGGAAGAGAAATGGTTTTGGCTTGTGTTTAATAGTCGCTGAATAAAAACATGATTTGACGGATAAAGTCGCCGGCGTCGGCCTTTATCAGCGCAGGTTTAATTGGACACGTTCAGTCAGAACAGCCAAAAACATCATTATTATTCAAAGAGTGAATGATCCCGACGAATGGTCTTAAAGCAAACACAGGGAAGGAAAGGTTTGAGTTTTCCGTCCCAATCAGACGAATTAAACGTGTTAAAACTGCTCAAGAGACTCAGAGAGCCAAACCATACAGAAACATCTGCTGTCTGACGACACACATCTACATCATTAAAGAGAGAGAGAGGGTAGGGGGAGAGGAGAGGAGAGAGAGAGAGAGAGAGGAGAGAGAGGGAGAGAGATACAGAGAGAGAGAGAGGGAGAGAGATACAGAGAGAGAGAGAGGGAGAGAGATACAGAGAGAGAGAGAGAGAGAGAGGAGAGAGAGACAGAGAAGAGAGAGAGAGGGAGAGAAAGAGAGGGAAGAGAGGGAGGAGAGAGAGGGAAGAGAGAGAGGGAGAGAGAGAGAGGAGGGAGGAGGCAGAGAGGAGAGAGAGAGGGAGGGAGAGAGAGAGAGAGAGGGAGGGAGAGAGAAAGAGCCTTCTGTAAGAGTGTTTTGGGATAACTAAAGTTCTTCCACATGCTGTCTGTGAGCGACCCGTTTCAAAGCGGCCCCTTTAAATAAAAAGGAGATGCGTCACACCCCGCCCGCTCTCATGAGTTCACGGTCGGTTCAACTCCCCACGTTCGGCCATTATTGTAGTTTGATTAGAGATATACGATTATATACGATAATCAGAAGCACATTTGGTAACACTTTCCCTTCATTAATGAATAACTACACAGGGACAAATGAGTAACACACTATAATCACTCTAGGAAATGAAATCTTTAGCGTAAGTTCTGCCAGGAACACTTAATTGTTGCGTCACTCATTACCTTCACATCTAACCAATCATGTTCTAATACCGTAAAACTTCTAATAATAGCCCAGGCTTTTGTTTTCCCAAATCGTGGAACTGCACCTCCACTCCAGGACCACCCTCTCATTTTTAGCTAATAGTGAATTACCACATTCAACAGTGAATAGTAGTTGCTAGAATGTTTATAGTGTGTTACTCTTTTGTTCCTGTCTAGTTATTCATTAATGAAGGAATAGTATTATAAAGTGTTGCCGCTACATTTTATATATATATATATTGCAGGGTCGACAGAGAGATTGTGGTTTTAGATCCGCTTTATGACACTGGTATTATTGTGGTCTTGGCAGGCGATGAGTTAGTTGTACTTCAACTGCACTGTAAAGAAGCGTTTCCTCGCTAAAGACTCTCAGATTAGGTGCCAGCGCAGCCACAATAACTCCTTAATCCAGTCTCTTTCTCTCCTTTCTCCTTTCTTTCGGTTTTTCCTCGGGAAAACCTCTCTCTCTCTCGCTCTCTCTCTCTCCCTCCCTCTCTCTCGCCCGCGCCCGCCGTCAGGTCACTATATCGGTGGATGGTATTCTGACCACCACCGGTTACACACAGGAGGATTACACCATGCTGGGATCCGATGACTTCTTCTACATCGGAGGAAGCCCGAACACCGCGGATCTGCCTGGATCTCCGGTCAGCAACAACTTCATGGGATGCCTGAAAGATGTGAGTCAGAATACACTCATTATAGCCATTGTGAACAATCTTAACTTAGATATCGCCAGTAAATGCAAAAAATGGATCAAAACCTTTTTCAATTATTCACACACTCATCATTACGAAGAAACTGTAACACAACGATTTAAACATCCGATTTTGAAGTAGAAAAGCTCAGATAATAGATTTATTTACAGCATGTGTTGATGTTGTTTGTTTGAGCAGCGTGAGCTCAACCAATGTCATGAGTTTGGGGGCGGAGCTATCTTTTTGAATGACAGCAGAAGTCTTTAAATTCTGTTTCACAGACAGTAACATAGTGTCGACCCAGATCCGGCCCACGTCAAAAAGTCAGAGAAGAAAAGTCAGAAAAGTACAAGTCAGAAAGATGTAGTTCAAGGCAATAACGTTTACAAAGCTTTTTCGGCAAAAAGAAAATCCTCTTGGTCAAAACTAGGTGTTTAGACATACAAAGATGGCACACTCATATTACTAGTCTTCATTTATATAGCGCTTTTAACAAAATAGATGTTTTCAAAGCAGCTTTCCAGTGATAATAAGAAAATAATACATACATAATATTGTTGAACATTAAATTAAATGCGCAACACACAAAATTGTGCAATGTACAATTTACCGGAATAAGTCCTGCCTTCCAAATAAAAGAGCCGATGGCTGATTGATGAAGTCATCTTCCCGGTGATGCCGAGTGAACAGACTTCCTTTAAGTTACGGTAACAGCGACATAGCGTCTGTCCAGATCCGGCCCACATCTGGGCTGTGCGCAATCCGAGTGTACCAGATGTGGGCCGGATCTGGGCCGCGTGGAATCCCGGTGTACCGGATGTGGGCCGAAACTATGTTGCTGTTAATGAACTACACTGACGCCCCCTGCAGGTCGTCTACAAGAACAACGACTTCAAGCTGGAGCTGTCCCGCCTGGCCATCGAGAGAGACCCCAAGATCAGTCTGCACGGCGACCTGGTGTTCCGGTGCGAGGACGTGGCGGCCCTCGACCCCGTGACCTTCGAGACGGCCGAGTCCTACATCGCCCTGCCGCGCTGGGACACCAAGAAGACCAGCTCCATCTCCTTCGACTTCCGCACCACCGAGCCCAGCGGACTCCTGCTGTTCAGCCACGGGAAACCCCAGAGCTCGCAGGAGCAGCGGCCGGCCCGCGAGGTCAAGACCGATTACTTCGCCATGGAGCTGCTGGACGGGTTCCTGTACCTGCTGATGGACATGGGCTCGGGGAGCATCAAACTCAAGACCAGCAACAAGAAGGTCAACGACGGCGAATGGTGCCACGTGGACTTCCAAAGAGAAGGACGAAAAGGTGAGGAAAACCACGGGCACGGATATATGTCCACTCATAGTAATAACACGCTTACTTAACCCTGCATAGTTGGTTAACTTTTACTATAATACTAGCTTTTTTTCGTCTAATTGATGTCTACGGATTAACTTAAATCTTCTAAACCTTTTTAAAATACTCAACAAAACCACTGGCTAAAAACAACACAGAGTCTTTTTCACCGCATCTTCAAAGAAGCAAGACAGTGTTGTGGAAATGAGCTCTGGATACACCTACAACTTCTCCCCATTTATATATGACCATTATGAGCAATATGGTGGTGGGTTTATATGGACCTCGTTGATTAATTTCTCCAACATGTCGTCTGCTATTTTAATGTGCCAGCCTTTAAAGGATTAGTTCACTTTTGAAAAAACTTTTGCTAATAATTTACTCGCCCCCATGTCATCCAAGATGTCCACGTCTTTCTTTCTTCAGTCGAAAAGAAATTAAGGTTTTTGATGAAAACATTCCAGGATTTTTCTCCATATAATGGACTTCAATGGGAACCAAACAGTTCAAGGTCCAAAAGAGAGTTTCAGTGCAAACTGTTCAAATGTCTTTAAACGACACCAGACGATGAATAAGGGTCTTATCATGCGAAACGATCGGTTATTTCAAAGCTTATTCCAAAAATGTAACTTTTCTAAGGACAAATGCTAGCCTTGCTCTATTCTGTGAGGCGCGTTTGTAACGTCACGTAGTACGTGATTACGTTCAAAAGGTCACGGGCGACGTAGCCGTAAGTACAGAGTCAGTGTTTACAAGTTGAACGCATAGGTTGAACGTGCAAACTAGTTCAAACGCCGTTTACAAAAAAGGAATTAAAAGGTAAAACAACAATGTCGGACGATTTTGATTCTGTACTTCCGGCTACGTCGCCCGTGACCTTTTGAACGTAATTACGTATTACGTGACGTCACAAACGCGCCTCACAGAATAGAGCAAGGCTAGCATTTGTCCTTAGAAAAGTTACATTTTTGGAATAAGTTTTGAAATGAGCGATCGTTTCGCATGATAAGACCCTTATTCATCATCTGGTGTCGTTTAAAGACATTTGAACAGTTTGCACTGAAACTGTCTTTTGGACCTTGAACCGTTTGGTTCCCATTGAAGTCCATTATATGGAGAAAATCCTGGAATGTTTTCGTCAAAAACCTTAATTTCTTTTCGACTGAAGAAAGAAAGACATGGACATCTTGGATGACATGGGGGTGAGTAAATTATCAGCTAAAGTTTTATCAAAAGTGAACTAATCCTTTAAGTTAAAATCCATTCTGATAGGCTGTCAGTGTTTTATCGTTCAACAGCTGAAAACAAATCGTTGTGATAGTGATCCCAACGATTTCATTCCTCATATCTTTATCATTATAGCTGTGGTGTGAACTCTTGCTATTCTATAGGATGGAGAAGCGTATACAGTATGTATTTCAAGCCAATATCAGAGGTGTTCGGCTGACTGGAGCTTTGGGAATCCCTGATTCACTCCTGCAGTCGTCGCTCCTTAAGTCCAACGAGATGCAGCGATGCCAAAGGCGGCATTCATTTGCTGTAATTGGCTAATTGGGTGTAAGACTAGAGGAGGTGTGTGTGAGTCCTGTGGGGAAGAACTCCAACACTTCTGTAATTGCAGTTTAATAGACAATTAAGAGCAGGTCATAAATCTCTCCGGTCTGCCGAGAGGCTCATGCTAACACAGATCGCTCACACACGTCTTCTTCTTCTCCTCGTCAGGCTCCATCTCCGTCAACAGCCGCTCGATCCCCTTCAGCTCAAACGAGGGCAGTGAGATCCTGGACCTGGACAGTGACATGTTCCTGGGCGGTTTACCGGAGCCGCGGCAGGGCCTGATCCTGCCCCCCGAGGTGTGGACCGCGCTGCTAAACTACGGCTACGTGGGCTGCGTGCGCGACCTGTTCATCGACGGCAAGAGCCGAGACGTGCGCCGTCTGGCCGAGATCCAGAGCGCGCCGGGCGTCAGCAGCTTCTGCACGCGCGAGCTCCAGAAGAGGTGCAGCAGCGCCCCCTGCAGTAACGGAGGACAGTGCAAGGAGGGCTGGAACCGCTACATCTGCGACTGCACCGGCACCGGCTTCCTGGGCAGCAACTGCGACATCGGTGAGAGAGCCTGAACACACACTCAAGCTGATGTATAGTTTTGCCCTGCTAATGTTTTTACAGGCCAACAACAACAACACACAATAATTAATTAATAAGAATAAATACTTTTATTAAAATATATATATGTTCAGGGTCTGAGATTAGGGGTGGTGTGGCGCAGTGGATAAGACACATGCCTTTGGTGTGAGAGACCCGGGTTCGAATCCACTGTGAGACACCTATGTGTCCCTGAGCAAGACCCTTGACCCCTAGTTGCTCCAGAGGCGTGCGACCTCTGACATGTCAAGTCACTTTGGATAAAAGCGTCAGCCAGTTGAATGAATGTAAATGTAAAATGAGATACCAATTTTAGATACCAGTGGAAATGAACAATTCTCTATTGCAATTTTGATTCCACAGCTAAAACTACTAGCCTAACTAATATAAACTAAACAATATTAAAGCCAAGTACAGAGTCAGTAATAAAATAAGAACAAGTAATCAAATTTCAAGTAAAAGAACAAATAAATACAATAGAACAAAGATACAAATTAAATGGACAGCTCTTTTCAAGTCGTTGAGGTCTGACAGGAATAGCAATAGAGAGCCTAAGCCCCGCCCCTTCGCTTCCGGCTCATGGGACCTTATTTCGGAAAAAATATGAATGGTAGTCAATAGTGAGAGACAACTTATCTTTTTATTCCGTCTGAACTGTGCCCTCAATTACACATATGATGTTTGTCAATTTAAAAGATAATTCTGAAAGTCAAAAACATCATAACAGAAGAGTAACATTTAGTTTTATGTGAAAATCGCTCTGTGAACTACATCTCCCAGAAGCGAAACAACGAGTGAGATCCGCTGCTCATGTGTGTGCGGTCTGGTACAAAACACTCAGGTGTGACGGCGTAACGTTACGATTATAACGTAAGACTGTAGAAACAATGACAGACGTTAGCCTCAGTAAAGTTAGCTTCATTCATTGAGAGAAAATGTGCGCCTTTGGGGTTTGTAGTCTTTGTAATTACGTATTTTCACAGTCTTATACCTCAATGGTTTTACACCAAACTGCAACTTTCTTTACTTTAAAATGCATCTTTTAAATTGACAAACATCATATGTGTAATTTAGGGCACAATTCAAACCAGATCAAAATATTTGTTGTCTCTCGCCATTGACTACCATTCAATATTTTTCCGAAATAAGGTCCCATGTTGGTCGACCGGAAGGGGAGGGGCTTAGGCTCTCTATAGTAACTTTATGTAGCACACTTAAAACAACACAAGTTGACTAATGAGCTTTACAATGTCACAGAAAAAATCATCACATAGGCAACACATATAATAAATATTCACTGATTAAAAGCTATTGTTTTGATTTGTCCTCTGAAATCCTTGCTTGATCGTGTCTGTGGGGGAGCTGATTGGATGGTTGTTTGTTTTCTATTGGCTGATCCCATGTGAGTGACAGGTTATAGCCCCGCCCACATCACCAGAGAAGAGAAGAGATGCTGCATTCAGGACTATTAACACAATTAAAACACTGTAATACTCCATCACCAACACTAGAGGGATGTGTGTCTCGTTCTCACTCAGTCCGGCCCGTGTGAGTCTGTAGCGTCTCTCAGCGGTTATATTTAGCATCCGCGAGGCTTTTATCCCAGTTTCCCGCGGCCTCGCTCGTGTCTGCAGACGCACCGGAGCAGTGATGCTCAACACGGGCATCTGTGGCGCTTTACAACACCAGCTGGAGTTAAAGCTGCTCGAGTCTGATATCACACACACACACACACACACACAGCTCATCTCTCCTCTTTATAGCAGGAGCAGGTGGGGGTTTAGTAGTGCGTTGGAGAAACACTGTAGGAGACGCACGTTTGTTTTATTAAACATTTTTATTTTCTTCTTTCTAACAGCCAGATGTTGTGTTGTGAAGTAAAAGCTGTTTGTGTGTGTGTGTGATGATCAGCAGTTTAACAGTGCCACCAAGTGTCAGCAGGACAGCATTACACATCACGACACGATTAATGCGTGTACACTGATCACAAAAGAGACTGTGCTGAAGTAAACGCTACAGGACAAACGTTACTTCAGGCAAGAAGAAAAAAATATGTAGATTAAAGATTAATATCAACAAGAAAACTGAGGAAAACCTACTCAACTGTTCTAATACTGGTGTTCCCATCATGCACTGGGGCTGTTTGAGTATTAAGTATTTTTTTAGTTAATTTACTTTAATGTTACTTAATTCTATATGCTCTATCCGTCCTTCGGATGAGACGTTAACAGGATGTATCTGAATATCCTCATGCGTGTGTGTGTGTGTGTGTGTGTGTGTGTCCACAGAGGCCACAGTGTTGAGTTACGACGGCAGCATGTATCTGAAGATCCTCATGCCCGTCCCCATGCACACGGAGGCGGAGGACGTGTCCCTGCGCTTCATGTCCCAGCGAGCGTTCGGGATCCTGATGGCCACCACCTCCCGAGAGTCGGCCGACACACTCAGGCTGGAGCTGGACGGAGGACGGGTCAAGCTCACTGTCAACCTCGGTAACCTGCCGTCTCGGCCCTCCTCCTCTCCTCCTCTCGGGTCTCGCTCTGCCTGAACATCACTCCGTCCACCAGCAGAGGGCGACACAACACTTCTAGTCTTGTGATTGGAAATGTCACAAAAAAGAAAAGAAAACATAAAATATGAGAAAAAAGAGATGTCCAAACACGTTATTTTGATGGTCTCTTTTGAACACTGTGGACTGTGAGTAAGTTTGCATCTACATGTCAGCTAGCTCTCATTAGAGTATTAGTAGACTCTGCTTATTTCTGCTAATGATCCTCCAACAGACATTATACTGACTATACGTGACTCTGAAAGTACATGCCAACTTATTGTAACCCTAACCCCAGCAGTCTGCTAATACTCTATCGAGGTGCAGCAGCAGAATGTGTTAAAGGGACCAGAAGTGTAACGGGGTCTCACTCACGCTCTGAGATCTGCGGATGGACCCTTTCTTGATCCTTTTCTTCTAAAATCTATTAGAAAATTAGGAAAAAATGAACTCTCTGGTGGATGGCGGCACAGGGCAGCGTGGCATTCTGGGAAATCACACAGTGGAGTCATCTCTCTCTCTCTCTCTCTCTCTCTCTCTCTCTCCCCCGGACTCTTCCGTCCCTTCAACGCGTGTCTGTCTGCGACCCCGAGGCCAACAGCCCGAGAGACCGGCTCCTGCCACACACACACACACACACACACCAGTCTTTCATCTCTGACATCTAATCACCTTTTATGGCAAGCCGTTTTAGCTTTTATTCATTTCTAGGATATGAATTCTTGATATCAAGAATTGAATTGCTGATATCTGTAATTATATTTTCACAATTTCACTAGTGAAACGTCACCATAGGCTGCCATTCAAAATGAATTGTTGATATCAAGAATTGATTTTTAACTAGTAGAAATATCATTTTTGATATCAATTATTACTTTGTTACTAGTAAAAATGTGAATTCCTGATATCAATAATTAAATTGTCACTAGTTGAAATTTCTATTCTTGATATCAACCATTTAATTGTTACTAGTAAAAATTACCATTTTTGATATGTGAAAATGTATTTCTGATCTCAATATTATTTCAGATATCTAAAATGGCTTTCTTACTAGTAACAATTACATTCATGATATCAGAAATTAACATTGTGAATAGTGAAAATTCAATTGTTGATATCAAAAATGAACATTGTTACTAGTAGCAATTCAATTGTTGATATCAAGAATAACATTTCAACTAGTAACAATTGAATTATTGATAACATAAATAAAGGTTGTTACTAGTAAGAATTGTATTTCTGATATGTGAAATTGGAATTTCAACTAGTAAGAAATCAATTCTTGATATCAACAATTGGTTTTGAATGGCAGCCTATGGGGACATTTCACTAGTGAAAATACAATTGTTGATATCAAGAATTAAATTCTAGATATCAAGAATGTAATTTTTGATATCAAAAATGTAATTCTTGATATCAACAATTCAATTCTAGATATCAAGAATGTAATTTTTGATATCAAAAATGTAATTCTTGATATCAACAATTCAATTCTAGATATCAAGAATGTAATTTTTGATATCAAGAATTCATATCCTGCGAATGATTAAAAGTTAAAACGGCTTGCCATAACCTTTAGCTTCATAGATTCAGAGTTCAGAGATAAAGCCTGTTAACTCTTAATTATTCCCCTCACACATTCCAGTAATCATCAATCGAAAGCTTAATCCGGCCCACATCCGGTACACATCCGGTACACATGGATTACACACAGTCCAGATGTGGGCCGGATGTTGCTGTCTGGGAACTCACTTTAAAACTGTTCAACGATTTTCTCAATTTTTGTGATATCAAAAAATGGATGACACTGTAAAAAAACGACGTTCCGACAGCCTTATATCTGTGTGTGTGTGTGTGTGTGTGTGTGTGCCGTGAGCCGATCCCTGGCTGTTTGCTCACACTATTCTGTAGCGGTTGACACACACTGAGACACACCTCAGCCTGCAGTTACACCTCTGACCAGCAGGGGGAGTGTGTGTGTGTGTGTGTGTGTGTGTGTGTGACGGCTGAGGTGTGCAGAGAGCCCTTTCCCGCTGTTCCCAGCTGAAGATGATCCTCTCCTCCGGCTTTACTGATGGACTTTATGAATCAGGAGCTTATATCATGCCTGCTTCAGTCCAGCTGAAATATGACTAACAATATCACAGTTATTACACTGTTTACCTGAGATCGGATTTGACAGAAAGAAAGACGTTTGTCCAATTAAATAAGTCTGTTGATCATCATTCAGAAATGTATGTTTCAAATATGATACAGTAGATGAGTTAGCAATTAACTTTAGTGACTGTCTTAAAGAAAGATGATGGTTATAAAGGCAGTCCTTCCAGAAAAACGCGGAGTTTTTTTGTGATTGTTGCGGGCAAAAATTCTTAATAACGCGGCCCGTTTTCTTTAAAAATGCGATGCAATATGCGGGATATTTATGCAATTTTATGCGATGAAATTGCGGGAACTTGCAAAAATTGCGGGAACTTGCAAAAACTGCGGTTTGATGAAAAAGAGAAAAAAAGTGATTCCCCCAACATCCTGTTCTCACTAGGCTACTACCTTAATGTAAAGAGTCATTTCTTATTACTTTCTATGATGTAGCAAGCATACTACATCATAGAAAGTGCTGGGAATATTTAATTTCTCATCTTGTTTTTTTTTTATTAAATTTTCAAAATCACAGAGTTTGATATCAAGTTCTTGACATTTCTTTTACACATTTTCTGATAAGTATAACATCTGAGAAGTAGCCCTAAAACATGAAACAATAATTTGGGAAAAAAAAAAAAAAAAAGAAAAAAAGAAAAAAAAAAGATAGAGGGGCATCACAGACATATTAAATTCCTTTAGCAGAGATACAGATCTTTTGGGCTTTTTCGATTTTTTTTTTAAATTTTAAAGACTCAAAAATACATTTTAAAGGCTGTTTTGAAATGAGCAAAGTTGGGTTTTGAGTTAGGCTACTCCACTTAGTTTGATGAATATGAAATTTTCCTAATAATAGAAAAAATCGATAACATACATTTTTCTTATAGGAAAGTCAAATCATTTGTTTGAAGATGACAAATTTAAGACAAGGTTGCAATTCATTTTAAAACCTAGAAATTGAGACATCTCATTCCAAAAGATTGAAAAATAGGGACATTCAAACAATAAGTGCACAATAGACTCTCTTCACAATTACAAAATCAGCAATGTTTTTTTCAGACTGTAACGAGTGTAAATAAGGTGTGGCCCCTTTAAGAGCTGCGCGCTGAACTGTCTGCAGTGTGTGCGCCTCATGTGTGCGGGTAATTTCTGTTTGATGCTTATTCTTTTATCTTATTTTGTTTATTAAGTAACGATGTGATGGTAGAACGTGTGACAGACAGTTATACGAGTTCGATTTGTGAGATGTCAATCGCCTCTGTGAGTCTTTCTGGCCTCTGCAATAACTTCAGCTGTGAGCTATCCCGTCGCGTAATTGCGTCACTTCATAACGTTCCCATGGAAACCGGAGGAAATGGCTGCTCTTGTATGAAGCAAACGCAACATTTTTCAACTTTCTGCGAAAATATATGTGACTTTTTTTTGCAACGAAAATACGAGGATTATGAAATCATGCAAGCCCCGCATATTTTGCGTGGAAATCGGCATTTTATGCGGCGAAAGTGCGGCTTATTCGAAAAAATGCGGCCCCCGCATAAATATGCGGACTTTGGCTGATTTTGCATTGAATTCAGCGATCGCATAATCGCGTTTTTCTGGAGGGACTGTAAAGGAGTGATGGGCTCGGAGGAGCGGATCACTGACGGGACGGGCATCTCTGACTCGTGTGTGTCCCCAGATGGTGCTCTGATCATCAGATGTCTGCAGAATGAACTTTGAAGGATGTGAAATGTTTGCTGTCTCTCTCTGTCTTCTCTTTAATTTGATCTCACCATCTCACTCTCTCTCCCACCAGACTGTATCAGGATAGACTGTAACCTCAGTAAGTGGTTCAACTCATTCAATTTCTTTATAATAAAGGCTATTTATTATAATTCTGCCTACAACACACACACACACACAATGTTACAGTTAAAGACCAGGAAATAAAGTCTGACCTCTGCGTGATGTAAATCAAGCGTAGCCTCAGTTCTGGCGGGTCACGTTAGTCTACGTCATCATGTATTAGAGGACAGTGGTCATGACAGAACTGCGAATCAATTGTATTTTCCTCGGGAACGTGCCGGATGCATCCCTGGCAAACACCCCTACCCGTCTGAATCCTTAAGTTCGGGACGTCCCTATCTGAAATGGGGGAGATCGAGCGTCGAGTTCGCGAAGATACACCCAGAATTGTCATTAGGCTACAACTACCGTGTTACTACACTCGCACCCCGACACGGCCTGTCCCAGACACATCGCTCACGCTCAGAAGCGTCCGACTCACTGTCCTCGTGGGTCACGGCATGGCCGTCTCTGTGACGTGATCAGGGATGTCACCAAATAATAATTGCCCGCATTCTCCACCAGTAATTGTTTAATGTACTGTTGAAGACCCCAGGACCAGACATGATTAATCAATCTGAACTTCAGAAGTGCAGTCGATGGATGACAAGAGTCACAATTATAATCAACTCTTACTGAGGATAGTTTGCAGTTTCATCTCAGCTTTCGTTCGTAGGCCGCCCTCGGTACACTCGCATGATTCACTTGAGTGATTCTGATTGGCTAAGGAATAGATAAACATTGTAAATTTACACAGATAGACTGATAGACTTATCTCCATCAAATATGCGGCTGACGTTAGGCAGGTCGTGACCTTTCGCAGATCCGCGTCTCTAGTCGCCTAGTTGAAGAAAACAAGTCAGTCCATCTCCAATAATGCCACTCGTTCCTTAACCTGTAACCAAGAATACTAACACACACACACACACACACTGAGGTGATAAACTGTTATGTCATGCTGTGTTTTGATGTTGCAGGTAAGTGTGTTGTGTGTTGGAGGAGATATCTGAACATGTGCGAGACTCATAATACACACACTACAGGTGTATCTGCTCTGTGACACACACACACACACTACAGGTGTATCTGCTATGTGACACACACACACACACACACACACACACACACACACACACACACACACACACACACACACACACACACACTACAGGTGTATCTGCTATGTGACACACACACACACCAGAATACGGTTCCTTCGTTAATGAATAACTACACAAGAACTAATGAGTAACACAATATTAACAATCTAGTAACTATTATTAACTAACAAGAAACTCTGATTAACGAACTAGTAAGTAATAGCGCACAGACGAAAGTGGTAGTTCACTATTAAGTAATCAATAACTACTATTTTTTAATACTTCCCAGAGAACTACTGAAAAAGTTTATTAATAATAACCACTAGTAACTACTATTAACTAAAAGAAACTCTTATTAACGAATTAGTAAGTAATAGCTCACAGATGAAAGTGTTACTAGATACTTCTGTGGGAATTACTAATTATTTGGATCCGTATTATAAAGTGAAGTGTTACTAAAGACATTTTCTAAAAGTTACTAAAGTTCACCAGAAATCTCAAACGGTTGCACAAATCATGACTAGATCATGTAGTAACACTTGAGTAATTACTAGTTAGTTCCAATGATCTTCACTTTATAATACGGATCCAAATAATTAGTAATTCCCACAGAAGTATCTAGTAACACTTTCGTCTGTGAGCTATTACTTACTAATTCGTTAATAAGAGTTCCTTTTAGTTAATAGTAGTTACTAGTGGTTATTATTAATAAACTTTTCCAGTAGTTCTCTGGGAAGTATTAAAAAATAGTAGTTATTGATTACTTAATAGTGAACTACCACTTTCGTCTGTGCGCTATTACTTACTAGTTCGTTAATCAGAGTTTCTTGTTAGTTAATAATAGTTACTAGATTGTTAATATTGTGTTACTCATTAGTTCTTGTGTAGTTATTTATTAACGAAGGAACCGTCTTCTAAAGTGTTAGCGTATCTGCTGAGATCTGAACTCGGGAGCCGAAGCCTCGGAGAGAGAGAGAGAGAACAGTCTTTGCTCAGCGTCCCCTCGAGACTCTATTAACTTCTTATCATAAATAATGTAAACGAGTCATAAATATGCAGCATTTCTCTCCAGGTCTCCATAAACCCTGAGATGCTCACAGTGGCCTTGGGTTTCAGCCGCTGGGGTCATTACACACACACTCCGCTCCCTCATAACCAGTTCACATTTACATTCCTGCCCGTACTAAAGATATTTAACTTTCCAGAGCTTTACCCCTCATGACTGATCATCTGGAGTCAGACTTACTCGGTTTCAGCACTACAGGAGCTCTTAACTGTACCTATTCACAGTGTGTGTGTGTATGAGAGAGAGTGTGCGTACATGCAGATATCTCCTTATAGTCTCTCTCTGTGTGTGTGTGTGTGTGTGTGTGTGTGTGTGTGTGTGTGTGTGTGTGTGTGTGTGTGTGTGTGTGTGTGTGTGTGTGTGTGTGTGCAGGGCTGTAGGTAGAGTATTCAGGGCCCCTGAGAGAAACATTGATGTGGGCCCGCTCCAGCCCATCATACACTGCACAATAGATGAGCCGTGACGCCCACATATGACAGAAGATGCTGATGCTGTTGGAAAAACCTTTATTTTAAAAGTTAAATCTTTATATAAAAATGACAACTAATAAAAACCAACAAAAAGCAAGAAATTGTTAAATAATAAAAACAATTTTAAAGAAAAATAATATTTTTTTCCCCCATCATCAGTCTATAATTCATAAATTAAAATGTAAACATTTAGAAATTGACAAGAATGCAGTCAAAATAAATAAATAAATAAGTCTTATTTTTTAACAAAGCTAATATGGAACTAGTAATATTATTAAATAAAGCTAATACATGTATTAATCTAGGCCTATTTGTGTTTTCTTGATGTAATACATCATCAGCTGTGTAATGCAATGCGTCATGACTCGTGTAAATTATTTACAGTAGTGTAAAAATACACAAAGGATGGCCACGTAATCATTGGGTCGATTGTGTTGCGCACCGATAATGAAAAGCGGCAGGTCCGGCAGGCTGTGGACGCTAGTTTTCTTATTCTCAGTGAAATAATAACAGCCAGATCTAAAGAGAAGCAGATATTAATATAGATATAGAAAGAATATTTAACCAAATTGCATGTTTTTGTGGTTTTCAATCTAAATCTTGTAAATCAATTTAAATCTCAGGCAAACAAATGATATAAATATTAGAATTATTCATACAACAGGGGCTTATGTAGTATAACGGCTGGATTTTGTGATATAATTGTCACCACCTTTGACCCCAGTAGAGACGGCCCTGTGCGTGCGTGTGTGTGTGTGAGAGATGTGTGTATCTGACTGCACTCTTCTGCTGTAGGTAAAGGTCCAGAGATCCTGACGGCCGGTCAGAAGCTCAACGATAACGAGTGGCACTTGGTGCGAGTGGTGCGGCGCGGAAGGAACCTGCAGCTGTGTGTGGATAACGTCACTGTGGAAGGTACAAGACTCAACAGGGACATCAGCCAATCAGAACGCAGAAATTACTGACGGACAGGGAGCTTTTCTGATTGGTGTTTGTTTGTTTTCTGCCAGTTACAGAGCCCACCCAGACAGCAAACTGACATTGAAACAACGTTGATTTTGCTCATCGAATTAACGTTGAACCAACGTCAGATGCGGCATTCTTCAAAGCTAAATGAAAATCGAAAATTGGTTTGCTTTCATAACGTTGAAACAACGTTGATTTCAAGTTGATTTTCCGTTAGTTTTGAAAGAATGACGCGTCTGACGTTGGTTCAACGTTAATTCGATGAGCAAAACAATGTCAGATCAACGTTGTTTCGATGTCATATTTCCACGTTGATTCAATGTCAGTTTGCTATCTGGGCAGGTTTCAGTCATTTACTAAACGCTAGCTTACTATTTACTGAATACTGCGTATAAATGTACAAGTGTGTATTGTATAATTCGTCTTATTGCAGATTAGTGGAAAGTATGTTTATTTATTGCACTTTATCCATTTGCGTCTGTATATTTAAACTACAATATATCAATAAGTGTTTTTTTTTCTTCACTTCAGTGACACGTACACACACCATAATTTACAGATTTATTCATATCTATAATCTGAAGGTTTTAACGGGGGGGTTTGTTCATATATCACTCAACCTGATTTTTATAACATTTTATTCCTAAAACCACTGAAAAAAATGTTTGTTTTTTCCTTCTGTCAGTACTGTTGACTGTATTTTCTGATTTATGGCGTGATGAAAAGAGATATCAAAAACCTCTTCTATAAACTCTAACTTGTCAACAAAATCACAGAAGGATTTTGAATCTGGCTTTATGCAGATATGTGTTCATATTAATATTCTAGAAAAGTATGTCATTTAGCATAAGATAATGCATCATTTGTACATTTAAACAAAACAATCTAGAAAATGTGTAAAATAAAACAGTAATCTTAATGTACTGTGATTAATCAAGCGGGTAACTATAGTGATATCTGTCAGGACAAATGGGGGATCAGTGTGTTGTGTTGAGGAGATGAGTGTGTGATAGTGTGTGTTGAGGAGATGAGTGTGTGATAGTGTGTGTTGAGGAGATGAGTGTGTGATAGTGTGTGTTGAGGAGATGAGTGTGTGATAGTGTGTGTTGAGGAGATGAGTGTGTGATAGTGTGTGTTGAGGAGATGAGTGTGTGATAGTGTGTGTTGAGGAGATGAGTGTGTGATAGTGTGTGTTGAGGAGATGAGTGTGTGATAGTGTGTGTTGAGGAGATGAGTGTGTGATAGTGTGTGTTGAGGAGATGAGTGTGTGATAGTGTGTGTTGAGGAGATGAGTGTGTGATAGTGTGTGTTGAGGAGATGAGTGTGTGATAGTGTGTGTTGAGGAGATGAGTGTGTGATAGTGTGTGTTGAGGAGATGAGTGTGTGTGATAGTGTGTGTTGAGGAGTTGAGTGTGTGATAGTGTGTGTTGAGGAGTTGAGTGTGTGATAGTGTGTGTTGAGGAGATGAGTGTGTGATAGTGTGTGTTGAGGAGATGAGTGTGTGATAGTGTGTGTTGAGGAGATGAGTGTGTGATAGTGTGTGTTGAGGAGATGAGTGTGTGATAGTGTGTGTTGAGGAGATGAGTGTGTGATAGTGTGTGTTGAGGAGATGAGTGTGTGATAGTGTGTGTTGAGGAGATGAGTGTGTGATAGTGTGTGTTGAGGAGATGAGTGTGTGATAGTGTGTGTTGAGGAGATGAGTGTGTGATAGTGTGTGTTGAGGAGATGAGTGTGTGATAGTGTGTGTTGAGGAGATGAGTGTGTGATAGTGTGTGTTGAGGAGATGAGTGTGTGATAGTGTGTGTTGAGGAGATGAGTGTGTGATAGTGTGTGTTGAGGAGATGAGTGTGTGATAGTGTGTGTTGAGGAGATGAGTGTGTGATAGTGTGTGTTGAGGAGATGAGTGTGTGATAGTGTGTGTTGAGGAGATGAGTGTGTGATAGTGTGTGTTGAGGAGATGAGTGTGTGTGATAGTGTGTGTTGAGGAGTTGAGTGTGTGATAGTGTGTGTTGAGGAGTTGAGTGTGTGATAGTGTGTGTTGAGGAGATGAGTGTGTGATAGTGTGTGTTGAGGAGATGAGTGTGTGATAGTGTGTGTTGAGGAGATGAGTGTGTGATAGTGTGTGTTGAGGAGATGAGTGTGTGATAGTGTGTGTTGAGGAGATGAGTGTGTGTGATAGTGTGTGTTGAGGAGATGAGTGTGTGATAGTGTGTGTTGAGGAGTTGAGTGTGTGATAGTGTGTGTTGAGGAGATGAGTGTGTGATAGTGTGTGTTGAGGAGATGAGTGTGTGATAGTGTGTGTTGAGGAGATGAGTGTGTGATAGTGTGTGTTGAGGAGATGAGTGTGTGATAGTGTGTGTTGAGGAGATGAGTGTGTGATAGTGTGTGTTGAGGAGATGAGTGTGTGTGATAGTGTGTGTTGAGGAGTTGAGTGTGTGATAGTGTGTGTTGAGGAGATGAGTGTGTGATAGTGTGTGTTGAGGAGATGAGTGTGTGATAGTGTGTGTTGAGGAGATGAGTGTGTGATAGTGTGTGTTGAGGAGATGAGTGTGTGATAGTGTGTGTTGAGGAGATGAGTGTGTGATAGTGTGTGTTGAGGAGATGAGTGTGTGATAGTGTGTGTTGAGGAGATGAGTGTGTGATAGTGTGTGTTGAGGAGATGAGTGTGTGATAGTGTGTGTTGAGGAGATGAGTGTGTGATAGTGTGTGTTGAGGAGATGAGTGTGTGATAGTGTGTGTTGAGGAGATGAGTGTGTGATAGTGTGTGTTGAGGAGATGAGTGTGTGATAGTGTGTGTTGAGGAGATGAGTGTGTGATAGTGTGTGTTGAGGAGATGAGTGTGTGATAGTGTGTGTTGAGGAGATGAGTGTGTGATAGTGTGTGTTGAGGAGATGAGTGTGTGATAGTGTGTGTTGAGGAGATGAGTGTGTGATAGTGTGTGTTGAGGAGATGAGTGTGTGATAGTGTGTGTTGAGGAGATGAGTGTGTGTGATAGTGTGTGTTGAGGAGATGAGTGTGTGTGATAGTGTGTGTTGAGGAGATGAGTGTGTGATAGTGTGTGTTGAGGAGATGAGTGTGTGATAGTGTGTGTTGAGGAGATGAGTGTGTGATAGTGTGTGTTGAGGAGATGAGTGTGTGATAGTGTGTGTTGAGGAGATGAGTGTGTGATAGTGTGTGTTGAGGAGATGAGTGTGTGATAGTGTGTGTTGAGGAGATGAGTGTGTGTGATAGTGTGTGTTGAGGAGATGAGTGTGTGATAGTGTGTGTTGAGGAGATGAGTGTGTGATAGTGTGTGTTGAGGAGATGAGTGTGTGATAGTGTGTGTTGAGGAGATGAGTGTGTGATAGTGTGTGTTGAGGAGATGAGTGTGTGATAGTGTGTGTTGAGGAGATGAGTGTGTGATAGTGTGTGTTGAGGAGATGAGTGTGTGATAGTGTGTGTTGAGGAGATGAGTGTGTGATAGTGTGTGTTGAGGAGTTGAGTGTGTGATAGTGTGTGTTGAGGAGATGAGTGTGTGATAGTGTGTGTTGAGGAGATGAGTGTGTGATAGTGTGTGTTGAGGAGATGAGTGTGTGATAGTGTGTGTTGAGGAGATGAGTGTGTGATAGTGTGTGTTGAGGAGATGAGTGTGTGATAGTGTGTGTTGAGGAGATGAGTGTGTGATAGTGTGTGTTGAGGAGATGAGTGTGTGATAGTGTGTGTTGAGGAGATGAGTGTGTGATAGTGTGTGTTGAGGAGATGAGTGTGTGATAGTGTGTGTTGAGGAGATGAGTGTGTGATAGTGTGTGTTGAGGAGATGAGTGTGTGATAGTGTGTGTTGAGGAGATGAGTGTGTGATAGTGTGTGTTGAGGAGATGAGTGTGTGTGATAGTGTGTGTTGAGGAGATGAGTGTGTGTGATAGTGTGTGTTGAGGAGATGAGTGTGTGATAGTGTGTGTTGAGGAGATGAGTGTGTGATAGTGTGTGTTGAGGAGATGAGTGTGTGATAGTGTGTGTTGAGGAGATGAGTGTGTGATAGTGTGTGTTGAGGAGATGAGTGTGTGATAGTGTGTGTTGAGGAGATGAGTGTGTGATAGTGTGTGTTGAGGAGATGAGTGTGTGATAGTGTGTGTTGAGGAGATGAGTGTGTGTGTGTTGAGGAGATGAGTGTGTGATAGTGTGTGTTGAGGAGTGAGTGTGTGATAGTGTGTGTTGAGGAGATGAGTGTGTGATAGTGTGTGTTGAGGAGATGAGTGTGTGATAGTGTGTGTTGAGGAGATGAGTGTGTGATAGTGTGTGTTGAGGAGTTGAGTGTGTGATAGTGTGTGTTGAGGAGATGAGTGTGTGATAGTGTGTGTTGAGGAGATGAGTGTGTGATAGTGTGTGTTGAGGAGATGAGTGTGTGATAGTGTGTGTTGAGGAGATGAGTGTGTGATAGTGTGTGTTGAGGAGATGAGTGTGTGATAGTGTGTGTTGAGGAGATGAGTGTGTGATAGTGTGTGTTGAGGAGATGAGTGTGTGATAGTGTGTGTTGAGGAGATGAGTGTGTGATAGTGTGTGTTGAGGAGATGAGTGTGTGATAGTGTGTGTTGAGGAGATGAGTGTGTGATAGTGTGTGTTGAGGAGATGAGTGTGTGATAGTGTGTGTTGAGGAGATGAGTGTGTGATAGTGTGTGTTGAGGAGATGAGTGTGTGATAGTGTGTGTTGAGGAGATGAGTGTGTGATAGTGTGTGTTGAGGAGATGAGTGTGTGATAGTGTGTGTTGAGGAGATGAGTGTGTGATAGTGTGTGTTGAGGAGATGAGTGTGTGATAGTGTGTGTTGAGGAGATGAGTGTGTGATAGTGTGTGTTGAGGAGATGAGTGTGTGATAGTGTGTGTTGAGGAGATGAGTGTGTGATAGTGTGTGTTGAGGAGATGAGTGTTGTGATAGTGTGTGTTGAGGAGTTGAGTGTGTGATAGTGTGTGTTG